AAATCAAATTTGAATCCAAGGCACCGAATAACGATATCATATGGATCTCTGAGGGCGAATTTATCAATTGATCCTATTCCTTTGTGCACAGTTGAGTTCAACTCAAATACATCGCCTTGAATAGTGTCCACATAAATCTTGTCACCTTGTTTTATTAACTTAAGTTCGTTTATTGGCGCTTGATATATTCCATCAAGTGATTTTAATCGAAACGTGTCGAATAAATCGCTATTCACCGCTCTGAAATTAAAGGATATATTCAATAATAAGTGAAAAAGTAGGTAAATAAGTGCGTAAATATACACAACAGAATACATTATGCAAACAATAAACGATTAACCAATGAATTGTTTTGTTAGGATACATCTTCTGGTGAAGCACGACACATTGATTCAACTTCTAATCAACCACAATAATGTATTTGAGTTAAGTGCGGTTGAACTGGATGACACCTTGCCATACGAATTGAAAAAGAGAGTACCCGAGAGTACATACACCCCAATCATACTCAAATAATCAAAAGCAATAGAGTCAATGCGAAGCTACATACAAGACCCTGATTGGCTACCCAACCATAACACTTAACAGTCAGACCAATCAGAGATCAGCTTGCTGCATTTAAGTTTCGACTCAACTGATATAATAATAGTATTACTATCGAATTTACCTTACGTCTCCAACATAATGAGTCTCCCATGATAATTTGAATTGTGTTCTGGAAATTAAGTGGATATAATTGGTATTTGCTATGATATTATCAGCAGTCTCAAATCCTGAATTCCCCTTTCCCATTATCAATACCGTCTTCCCTTCATAGTCAGCTTTATCTATTGACATATCTTCATATCCCACTGTATGTTCAAAGCCTTTAAAATACGGATTATTTGGCAAGGATAATCCGGTTCCAACAATCACAGTTCTGGAAGATAAATAAAACGTGGAATGAAATGATGAGTGAGCAGTATTAAAAACGATTACAACCATTTCCTAACCTAGCTACGTGTTATATAAGCATCTAAAGAACTCCTAAAACAAATCTGTGTTTCTATGCATTATAAAATGATGATGAGATGCCGGCAAGGGACTCTAAAGTGACTTTAATAACTATGGTGATTGATGGATTTAGCAACCTTCGCATTTAGAAACCACGACCATCATCGTACGTGCATTTACCAGGTTCTTCTAAATTTGTTTTTCCTTTACTATAGAACCTGTGAATTTGTTTCCTTTGATTGTAGCCCACGTCGTTCCCCCAAACATTAGTTTCCACTGTTCCTACAACAATGATTCCATTGTGATATTTTCCATCTACTATGTACTTAAGGCAGTACAGCGACTGAATCGACCGACGTGTAGCATACTTTGCGGTATTATCGTGATAAACTATTATAGATATTTTTTCAACTTGTATCAATTTAATACGTGACAAAACGTGTTCGTTCAGTGATACGATTCTTCGAGTGCAAACTACCGGATTTGCCAACAAGTCACAATTGCGAGGGCCTGTAGTGTGTAAGCGTGAGGGATTGTGTGGGAGTGAGTGTGTGGCCAATGTTAGAAATTACAAAATAAAAAACGCGTTCTAATGTTACGTCAATAGTCTCGAACGCGTCGGTAGACAAAAGTAATATTACATGGGGAAGTTAACACATACTGACATAGTCGATTGAACGCACGCGTCCTGTCAGACATGGATGACCATTAGAAATGTCACACCTGCATATCTCAAAAATGTCTCATTGATGTCTTGTAAACTAGACATGCAGCATGCGTATATTAGAGATGTAAGAGACGTGACATTCAATAAATTGGGAGACAGTAACTTCTAACTCATAATATATATTCATAAATTGAAGGGCAACTTACTTGCATTCATATATATTATGAAAATGATCCTGCAATTGAAACCGTGGTTGATCTGCAGTAATATTTATTGATTTGACGTTAACAATATTGGTATTGTACTTGACATTGATACCAAGTTTTTTTGTATAATCTTGAAGATATTTCAAAAACATATCAGCGTGTGGGAAGAAATCTCCAGAATAGTGCCTGTTAAATGAAATTAATGTTAATATTGCAATAATAACAAATAATTACAAACTGACTGTGTAATATACATATTACAAGTAATAAAAAGGCGAATCTTCAAACAAGTTTCATTTTTAATAGGAAGCTGTTACCAGTATAATGGCATTTTTTATATCTGATCAACTCCCACATATTATCACCACTGCGTGTTGTATGGGAAATAAAGGATGAGGCACTGCCATCATTTTCGTGGTGGCATAACAAGGATGAGAATGTATGCAAATAACAAAACTCAATGTGTGTGCAGTGGTATGCTTTCAGATTTCAATTATGCAACAAAAACTTCTGAGATAACGAAATGTGAATCTACATGAACAGTCTAAAATGGTCCTTCGAGTCAAACAATCATTGTGAGTTTGTTGTGTTGACGAACCGTCCAAATGTGGGAAAACATATTGCTGATCAACGCATAATGTTCGCGCGTGATAGGATGAATAGAGGTCTCACTGCCCAGTTATCACTTGCTACATTTATTCCAGTGGTAATAATAGGTAAATAAGCAATAGCAATTACAACTCTATACAATAATTTTACAACTGAAATGGAAATAATGTACTCAAACAAAAGTCTTTCTGAATCATTTACAGTTCCAAGTACACAAAACAACAAATGGTTGACGACGCGCGACGACCACCGCCCTTTTAAGTAATATATTCCGCCATCTGAAACATAATGTCTGTGGTATAACTACATTTCAAATATTGACAAACAAAATAAAGATAGTAGCATTTCCCGTATATGTGTTTTTTGATGTCAAATTATTTTGAACAAAATAATCTGAAAACGTCAAGCAATTTCAACGAACTGAAATTTCATAGACACTAATTGTTTTTTGTCATCTGCCCAGTTGTACAACAGAGCATAGACACAAATTGCTCCGGGATCTCATTGAGTGCTAGAGATACACGCCAGAGAGCTATAGCTAGAGACTTGTTGTGTCCCTCAAATCGAGTTCCAATGTCTTCCGCCATCGCGTCTACTCCACTAATCTATGTAACCATAGTATTTTGAACAGTTGAAACGATCACTAGCAGAAAGAGGCACATAAATGGTTCGTGTATCTCCGACTCTAAACGAGATTCCGGCGAAAATTCCCGTTAAAGGTATATTTTGACTTTTGCAATGCAAATGAATTCAATTTTAATATCCTGGTATTGTATGACCACATTTGATGAAGGGGAACACATTAATAAAACTTACCCGTAACAACGCAAGACGAAAAGTAATTTACGAAATTGTACTGTCGGCAAAAGTGTGTAAGAAGCCTTAAGTAATATACGTACTATGCAATAAATACAGCAGCTACTGAATTCGCAAGATATTCGCTTTGTCATAAGCCGAACATAGTAATGCGCTCGAATCGCAAACAAGATTCTTTTTTCGACGATCGAAAATGGACTATATTACAAAATCAATATTCAATGCTTCGAAGCAGAATTCGATCAGCAATGCATGGCGGGATTAAATGTAATGAAGGCAGTGATCATGAATAACTTTGTTGATAAACGGCGCAGTGCGTCGGATTGAGATCAGTAAGTTGGGAACATCAAAATATTCAGATTCGATTTAAAAGCTTTTAACTATGTTTTGCCGGAAATACAACTTTCACAAGAAACATTGCTTTTTACCTCATCTGCAAACTGTCATCGTCGCTTAGAAGAGAATTCCAATCGTGTCTCAAATTAAACTCCTTATTTGTTTTTCCAGTATTCCGTTTATTGATACTGATCATTGTCCTGTGTCTTGGATAGTCTATGAAGAATGCGCCAGATGTGTTGGTTCGTTCAAAGATCAAGTAGTCTCTTCCGGCTTTATGTAAGAAATAACCTAACTGTAGTCCTGATGGTCCAGCACCAATTATGCAGTAATCTTTCTTTAATTCTGGTTGGTTTGTCGTGCACTTGGTGATTATGGCCTGCATATACAGCCATATCAATCAGACGATATGTGGCAACATGCTTGCGACAAAAAAATACAAATTTATTTGTGTAGTAGAACTGCTGAAAGAGAAATGTAAGACAAAACCTTAGTGAGATACTAGCGGTATTAATATAAGACTGGGATGCCACCTCGATGGTCGCTAAGTAATGGAAGTGAGCGAATGTGTTCCCAATATTGCATTTGCCATGTGTCGTACCTTACAATTTACAAAGCGTATCTGTTCCGCACAACGAGATGCAATTAAAAATAGGAACAATAAATAAAAAATGAATGAATATAAACAGTGAAGTTGCCATAGTTCTATTTTACTCTGAATTGAATTGAATTAGATAGATATAAGTGTCTTGATTGAGCATGATGAATGAGTTTTAGTATTTACATGTGTTAAATGATATTATTGATGTCATAATATGATCACAATACCTGCAGAGATATATAGATGTATTAAGTAGCTCGACATACCCTGATACAATGTCGTGGAATTAGAAGTACTGTGACAGTCACCTAGCTTCAGAATTAATGTTTCCCCGTTGATAAACGGGTGTTTGCGATGCGTGCATTAGTCTACTTACACATTTCATGTATTAACATGCTTAAAATCGATATATACACATACTAGGGATAGTGGAATTGTGATTGGCGTGTTTGAATAAAAATTGTCCCGTTAAGTCTATTAGCGTGGACACGAGTCAACATGTTTTAACAACAATGTTTGCGATAACATTCTGCAGCTGTGCTGTGATTGGTTAATGAATTTCAATATCCAGTCAAATTTTCACTGGTTTTTATTGTTGAAGCTATTTTTTCATATCTCGAAAATGATTTCCGTGACACGATTTAGGTAAAAAGACATTGAAAAAGACATTCAATTTAATTTAGTTATTTTTCTGTGTGATAATAGTTGTTTACAATAGAAAGTATTTTCCCATAGTTCATTGCACATGCATGCAGTAACAAGCTCACTGGTGGAGCAATGCAAAATGGTGAATATTATGCGTCAAACATTGGTAATGCAAAACACGTTTACACACACAAACACACGTTCGTGGCTGGTGGCATTGATGCCTCCTCCGATAGTGATGTATATAAGGCGTGTAATATACATTATATTTACACGAAATTTGAACATGCGCTGCATGACGACTGTAGCGCTTTAACGACACAATAATCTTCTCCTGGCATATACCCAACCACATGCGACGATGGTAGCGCTTTAACTTAACGACGCAACAAACCTCTCCTGGCAAATACCCAATTATTTCTCAGTACTTATTCACTTATAATGCTGTACCATTTCTTTCATCATCCTAGTACAGCCAGATCTGAAGGCCGTTCATGTTCTCTGAACGTAATATGGTCGGTTATTAAGCATCCTTTTTTGGGAGTTCATAAGTGTGTAGTGATGGCAGATGCAGCACAATAAACAAACGGTGTTTATCATTCCCATCTAAATGTCAAATGTCCGATGGATTAAGTACGTGGCAGTGTAATTGAGTACGCGGTGGTATGTTTTCCTTAAAGAATAGAAGCTGCTATATACGTTATCTTTACCTTATTTACCTAACATTAACACGGTCGCATTATTATTATTGTTGTTAAATGTATTTATCTAGTTTTAATATACGTGGTTTCCAAAAAGGGAATTTAAAATAGAATAATTACAGACAAACGATCATTCACATAACAACACGAAACACAAGATTCACAATCGCGCACATGGTGAACGTAAATATATTCCAACATTGTATGTGCTAAACTTTAGGGACAGAACAGAAAGTACATGGGGGATTAGGCCAGTATTTTTGAAGGTCGCGTATATAAAATTGCGACCCTCCCTCCTTCTTATTGTAAGCATAGCACATGTATTAAAACTATATATACATACTTAGTGACTTTCTTGAACTTTTCCTCTTTAATATGTTAGCCTAGCTCTCATTGAAAAGAAAACAATGTAGGATACTTTTTATGTACCACATTAGAGCGATACATACACAATTTTACTGGCACTTTTTACTTATGAGTGTTGTGTGTTGAGTCATATGCAGAAATACGAGATACATATTTTAATACTTTATATTTTTATTACACACTCTAGATATACAGTTTTTATAACAACACTGAAATTCAGCCAAACTTGACTGGTCTAACGAATTCTAGTAATAATTGCAAAAGTATCAAGAAGCCTTTTATCCAACGCTTGTTGAAATACTTGCCCATCACACAGTATAAATATGCTAATGAGAAAAAAAATCATATTCACCAAATCATCTTTAGTGTATTTCTGGCTTGAATAAATGTGATGTTCAATGAAATATGATATATGATTCAAAACTAACTTTCTACAATAAACCTATAAAAAGGCACACGATATACGTTTGGGCGATCAGAGACTGCCAGCTTTATTAGTCCCCGTTCGAAAAATGTTCGAATCTGGACTTATGATTCGGTCTCCGTCCGTCCATTCATCCGTCCGTCCCTCCGTCCCTCCGTTCGACCAGAGTCATATTTCAAAATCCTGTGACCAAATCTGTTCATTCTTTGCATGTTCCTAGTACTTTACCTGGGGCATATGCACTTCCAGTGGTTTACTGATTCAATCCAATATGTCTGACTGCCAGCCATTTTTCTTTTTTGAAAATGTGGTGTCTTATACATGCGTTGTCAGTTTTTGTTAAAATTTGGTACATGCATTGTAAGTTTTAGATTTTTGATTACATGTCCACGAAAATTCGTTTTACAATCGGATTAAAGTAGACCGACTGGCATCCATCCTGTTTTTTTGAAAAATGTGCTTTCTTCGACAGGATTTGTCGGTTTGTATATGTCTATGATAAACTACTTTTTCTCTTCAAATTTAACATGTTAGGATACATGTCCATGACAATCACTTTCACAACCGGGTCAAAGATGGTTGACTGCCTGCAATCTTGCTTTTTGATAATACTACTTTATTTCTGTACATGAGCCCAGACAAAGGAAATTCAGTTTGGATACACAAAATCACGAATTGCTTATCCTGTAATTTCTGTTGATACTAGATCACAATTAATTCGCTCTAAATTACTAACAATGCTTTTGGTCTGTAACTTTATTATCGGAATGAACAACATTTCCCGCTGATTTCAACGGGGATTATGTCATTATCAATGGCTTTTTGAATAGGTATGCTTGTGGCTGCATGCCAGTACAGCAAGTCACCAATAAGTTGTACTGTTATAGTAGAAATGTGCTCGCCACACCACTAGATCAAATATTGTTATTAACTAGTCCTGGCGGCTTTAATTCCTCTTACACTGAATAATCATGGCTTAAGATAATTACATTTTAAAGAACACATTTGAATAATAAGGGTATTAAGTAATATAGTGTAAAAGTTACATTTTCATATTAATCACAATCCGCTAAAATACATGTAAACAAACAGTGTCTATTGGTATTGTAAACACTTTTTAATATTTTATAAAATCTGTGTGTTTTAATCCAGCAGTACTCGTACATAAATATTATGTTTCCCAAGCTCTGAATATAAGTTAATCTGTTATCATGTCATCCAATGTAAATACAACTGCTGAATGAATAGGTGTTTGTTGAGGTGACAGAATAAACCAGACTGTGCATAAAATCTTGCATTGCACACAGAATTGCGACCCTCCAATAAACACTTGCACGAAGATCAGTGACCCACAGCCAAAACACTGATCTACCTCCCTGTGTACTTTCTGTCCAGTTCCTTAGTAGTATATATGTATAACTTGAACACTGTTTGCAGATAAAACATGACAAAATGACACAGTAATATAACTATGTTGACAGTTTTGTCACTGAGCTGTCATTGGTGCACATGCGTGAATGGATTCTTATCCATTCAGAGAATGTGTCATGACATGTGACTATTTGTTCATATCATAATATTGACAACGTATTCATTACATCGTGTATGCTGGCAAAAACTCTTTAGTTTGGCAATATTAATATTTTGAAGCGTTTGAATATAAACAACTATCGTTAGGATAAGGAATGCTTGACAGATTGATTTTCTCAATAAATTGTTGACCACTCAATTATTTTAAGACTTAATTCTATTGTGAAATAGTGATTTGACTAACTATTAAAGAAAAGCACGTTGACATCTCCGGTACAGTAACCATAATTTTACAATGACATAAAGTTCAACGAATCCTCGGATAACTACTGATCATAGTATATAAAATGTATCGTTCATGAATTGTGTGTTGTAGAAACTGCAAATATATCAGATATATAGCAATGTGAGACATTATTCATAGGTTGGTGCGATTTGTGGATATTGATCTTATAGGACGTGTACACGCGTGTGAACAACAACGGTATTTATATTAGTTTAAACGCATTAGCTGGGCTCCTCATGTGTTTTGTGTATAACCACTGTGTATACAAGTACAACGTTACATTCAAACTTGATAAAGGTACAAAACGCAATGGAGGACTGTTAGTCAGTTTGTTATAGTACGGAAAGTAAAATATCAATTGTACCACATGTACAAACAATATACATGTATAACATGTTGACTCGTGTCATTATTGTCTATTTAACTGAAAATGTACACATCAACCCTATTTCGTTATGCATATACAGTGACATCAATGAAAAGAAAGCAAGTTAATACATGTCAGACTACGTTTCAGTTTTGTTGTGACAATAAACGCTGACTTAAGGGTTCTCAATGTGAATAAGACAACCATAATTCATAATTGTCATAATTCGTAATACTTAGTGACGCCATTTCTGAGCAAAGCTATATATCCACATCCGACAGGTGGATTCGAACCATTTCATTGAACAAGATTTATTTCGAAAAAGACGCTAAATACATTGCATGCATATGATAAGTAATATATTTATATTAAAATGTGCCGTGTGGCGTTAAAAATGTCACATGACCAATACATGATTACAAATATTGTAAAGTAATTTTCATTCGTTCCTAAATGCTCGGAAGA